AGATTCTGGAAATGGAGACCAAAAGGTTGGGGCACTTCTGTGAGGAGGAAGGAACCTGCGTTCCTGTCCTCCTCTGAGAACTATTTCTTTATTTACTGTAAACAGATGTTGGATGAGAAACAGACTCAAGTCTCTGCTTTCAGATTTGATCCCTGTTAGTCAGAAGAGGAAACTGAGCCTCTCTTCCGCATCTAGGGTTAGTGCGTAAGTGGCTGGATGGGGGCAGGGGCAGGGCTGGCAGACAGCGCTGCTCCTAATTCTTCCTGTTGTATCCATATTTTAAAAGAAAGCAATAGTGCTTGGTTTTTGAAAGAAGGGACACAAAGAGCTGTCTTCTGGAGGGTGTTCCAGGCTGTGGGTCCCAAGTGGACAGGGGCACCGCTGAGTAATTGTAAAGGAGAGGATTTTCGAGCTCAGCGTTTCTATTGGCTACTTCATAGTTTGCAGGTATCTGTGGTACTGAGAGTCCAGGCAATTCCCGACTCAGTACTGTCTGCCTGGAAGTGCTGATGATGTGTAATCTGGCTTTTCCGATCTCAAGTGTTTGTGAGCTTCTTTTTTTTTTTCTTTTTAAAAAGGGGAACATTTTTGAATATGTAAATTGATAGTCTTGCAGTTTAGTACAGATATTTGGGGAAAAGAATTTCCATCCATGGGTAATTTTCTGCCATTTCAAGTTTCGAGATTATTGGACTATGTTGTCCTAACAACGTTTTTTACAGCTCATGTTGTTTTGACTTATGTATTCTATTTTAGTCTTAAAAATAATATTATTCCTTTGGATTTGATATTGTTTATTGTGATAAAGATTAACACCAATATTTTATGTGATAACTACAACAGAGTATATTTTTTGATCAGAATTATAATTTAAATGAAAAAGAAAAGATTTTTTTCCCTTTTTGAGTTCTCAGTGTCTACGCAGTTTGAGGCTTGACATCACACAGGAAATGTGTGACATCACACAGGCAATATGGCAGTTCCAGACAATGAATCCCAGTATCATAAGTTGTCCTAGACTAATCTCTGTACCTTGAGACCACCTTTCCCGATATCTTGGCAGTAAGTGTTGGCAATTATGTGTTTTGGGAATGAGAGCTACTGTTAGCCACTTTTTGGTACAGTGAAGGGAAAAAAGTGGGGTGGGGGAGGTGGGAAAAAAAGTAATGATAACTGCAAGCATCAGCTGTTGGAAAGTTTGACAATGGACCTGTTAGTCACCATCGGTAGCTGCATTCCTGTCTCACCTCCATTTGCACTTCTATGCTGTAGCAGCTAGAAACCTCATGGAACAAAATTAATGGAGCATGCATCAGGAGCTGCCTACTAGGTAATAAATGACTATGGATGTTGAGGAGTGCCAAGACTTACTCCTAATGAGTAGCAAAAAAATGTATTGTAGAGTATTCACATTCATTGCCTTGAATTTAATGTTGATTTGTCTTTTACAACTTCTCTTAATTCGTAGGAGTGCTTGCCATAGCTTTCTTATTTGTAGTGAATTGCACAGTTTTATTCAGGTTCTCTAACTAGGCTCCTGTGCATTAGTTGTCTTACTGAACTTGGACTTCACACACAGATCGAATCAAGCTTCCTTGGTGAAGAGACAAGACTGAGTAGAAAGTGTTCATGGAATGGCATAAATCTAAATGTACAAAGACCATGCAAGCTAAAACATGTCTTCTTGGTGGTATAAGAAATGGTACTAAGAGAAAAGATGATACTTACAATACACCAATGTAGTATTTTCATCAATGCACAGATTTTTTTCACCCTTCTCTCATGGTGCCTGAAAATGTAAGCTGTGGTTAGGGAACAGGGTATACGTCATTTATTTAATAGCAAATTTTTCTTTCTTTTATCTGTTGATAGAATGTAGCTATTCAGGAAAGAATGAAGCAGCTGAAGAAAGTGAAAGTTGCTCTTTCACTGCATGAGTTAAAATTGCCCCTAATTTGATTCTGATACATGAAGAATCGAATAATGCGTATAAGAGGAAGGAAGATGAACTCCAGTTTTGTTGTGGACAAAAATCCTTCTGTGTTTTATTACCTAGGTCCTTTGCCCTCCTGCCTGACGATGCCAATGAGATTTGTCGGTTTTGATTGTGTGTTTCTGAAGAAGTGTTTTCTGCTGTGAAGGATTAGTGTTTTCAGAAATAGGTTCTCTGTGTGGTCTTCCTAATGCAAAGCCACCGGTTTGAATTCTGTAACTACTTTGAATTTATGCTCATTTAACTGTGAGCAGGATTTGGCCTGTTTTATGACACTGTTCAGCTGTGTGGTGTGTTTTCTATGATAACTTTCTGAAACACAAGCTGTATTATATGTCTTATTGAATACTTTCATTGATCTTGCAGTAAATGCCACACAAGCAAAGATGTAGACATATAAATAAAACTGTATCTTGCATGCCTTGAAATTCAATGCATGTATCAAAGCCTATATCCTCTGTGATTATCTACTCACATTAACAGTTAGGCATCGCTCCAACTTTGCCATTCATGGTGACCTTATTTTGATGCGCACCTCAAATATTCCAACAGCAGTGTCATCTTTAGATAAACAATGTCACAAAGCTTTTCATAAAGCATTCTTATGGGAACGCAGCAAGTAATGAGCCCCAGAGGTGGCTGATTGGTTTCAGAAAATTTACTTGCACACAGAATGCAGCTTGAGCACAAAGGGACATAGGATTAAACTTAATTACAATATTATGATTTATGAAACTGTACACTGAAATGTAATCTCCTTGGTTCAAAGAGCTCATTATCAAAGGACAAACAGAAGCGGACAGAAAATTGGGGCTAGCCAAAGACCCAATTGATGTAATATAAAAGTGAATTTACCTCTAAGCAGTGCAGCAGTGATGGAAATAAGGGTGGACCTGAATTTTAAATTAAGACAAGTGGTAAGGCAATTATAACTTCAATAATTCTCAGTTGGGTTATGGGCGATGTGGGAAGTAGTGGGGAAAGAGAAGGGAGATTGTTTAACATGCGTGACTTTCAGTCAAATTTAACTTCCTTTTACATAATGAGGGATTGACTGAACAGTCTTTACTCTGTATGATTCTCTGACTCATGTGGAATCAAGGTTGTCCTATATTTTGAAAGTGCCACAGAAAAAAAGAGTCAAATCCAGCTCTGACTTCTCCAGCTTGGAACATTATCTTGTAAGAAGCACGTAAACCTTTGGTTAGTCGGCTTATAGGAAGTGTTACGTTTCCCTTAACCTTGAGTTATTCAAAACCCATTACCTTTCACTGTTAATGGTGCAAATTGCTATTGCTTGGCTAATGTGTGAGACTGTTTACTATGAAATATCACAAAGCCATGTCCTCTGATATGCTCATGAAAGTCTACTTTCTGCTTACTTTGAAAGGTCTATTACCTCTCGTACTAAAGAGAGACCAGTGATGTTCGAGGGCAAGTTAGGTATACTTAAATAGGGATGTTTATGGAAAAAAAATGGAGGAAAAGGGAGAATGAATAGTAGTTCAGCATATTACTTTTTTTCTTGTCTATGTGCTATGTTTTTATCACTTATTCAGAGAGGAATATTTTAATATATTAAGGACATAAATAAAAATTCTTATGACTGATTCTTTTAAACCTTCATTTATGTTATTTATAAACTGGATTCCATCTCTTACTGGAATCGGTAGTTCTGCTAATATGTGCGTGTCTAGACACTTCCTGTCATAGATCCTGTTTTTGGGTGTATAATGACTCTAAGCCTTGACTGCTTGGACTGACAGTAGGTGCCTGAGGCTGCAGATTTTTGTGTGGGAAGGTTCAGATAAAATGGCTTGACCGTTTCTGAGATCAGGATAGGCAGAAATGCATTGGTTACCTGTTTTTAAAAAAAATAGCTTGCAGCCATGTGTTCACTCTTCAGAAGTTGCAGCACAGTCTTGAAACCCACTTCTCCAGCATGAAGGATTTGCCTTTTCTGCCCCTTTTAAAATTTACCCAGTTTTGACAGCTATGAGTTAAGGTCTCATTTAGACCCCTGTGGCAATATAGGCTTTTCCTGAAACTGCGTGTTGCTTTCTTGGTGCCTGCCTTTTGCCAAAGGGCAGTGAATATTACCTGGTGAAGGCAACTTCTCCTCCATACTGGCACTTGGCACTAAGAGGCTCCAAGGCTGACTTCTTGCAACTCTGTGGCGAAATGAATCCCAGTTTCCAGGATTTCCAGCTTCCCTTACTGGGAGACCCAGAAAAGCTCTATTTGTCCTGCTGCTTACTTGTGTTTCTTATCTCTGGAAAAGTAAGAAAATCATTTTTTTACTACCTGAGTTCACTTTAAATATGAAGACAGCTTAAAATTAAAACAAGAAATTACATTCTAGAAAAGTAAAGGTTCTCATTACAAATTTGGAAACAGAGTTAAACAAGGAAAACATAAGACCAAGGAAAAGCAGACTTAAAACATGCTCGTTATTCATGTCCTGTCTTACCTACTGCTTGAGATGTTTGAGGCCTATTTTGACTGCAGCAGTGAAAATGCTGGGTCAGAGATAGGCTGTCACTCTAGTGCTGTCTTTGGGACTGCCTGTCTCTGCCTGAATCTCTGTCCACCTTTTAACGCTCATTTATTTGCATTTATCTGAATACTGTTAAATAGAAATGCAACTCTATCCAAAGAACATCTTGTTTATCACTTCAGAGGAGAGACTGTACCCTAAAGCATTGACCTGGCTGAACTGTGTGTTGTGTGTGTGAGGGCTGCTGGGCTGTCCTGTGGCTTATCTGGGACCAAGCCCCCTTTCAGAGCTTGTGGAGGACTGGTTCTTCTACCCAGGCTCACCTCACGACTTAGCAAGCTTAAGTGAATTGTCATTATAGACTTCTGTGGGAATATTTTTGCAAACTGCATTCCATCCTTTTTTTCCCCCCCATTCAGCAGTTTGCCTTCTGCACCTTTAGTTTCAAGGTTCCTGTTGTGCTAGTAGGAATTTTTGGAGTTCAGTGGCTTGAGATTCTGCCTGCATTGAACCTCTTCCAGCCTTTTGTGGGCTTCACAGGTAAATAAACTGAGCAGGATTTTCCTTGCAGTTACTTCTGCTTGCTGATGAGAGACCACTGGGCTGCTAGACTGCAGAAAAGAAAATAGGAAGACTATCTCCCCTCTGCTTTCAGTGCTCCCCTTCCGGCACTCGGATAATGAAGAGGAGGTAGGCGCAGAGGGGTGTGTTGACGAGTTGAGGGTGAGGTAGTAGAGAACTAAAGAGCAAGGGTCCAAGAGCTGATATGTGTGTGCATGCAAAGAGAGAGATGTATGATGGGAGCTGATGTACATAGTCTAAAAGGTGGATTGTATTGGAAAGGAAGTAGGACTGAACAGGAACAGAAGAGCATGGACAGTTGCTGAGAGGTCTGCAGTCCCCTGCTGTCAGAAAACAGCTGTGAAATTTACTGGCAAATTGTCTTATTTCTTTTCAAATGACTCCACATAGAGGAAGGCAGCCTGTCGTATTTCAAATTGCAGAGGTCGGTGCTGCATGTCTAGAGTGCCAAAGTAGTGATGACTTCAGTTGAGGCTAGCATGGTCCCAAACAATGGACTGTTCGATTTTTCAGGGTTTTTTGGTGGTGTTTAGGAAAATATGATACTGCATTCCCTAAGAGAAGGGCTGAATTACAGAATTCCTCAGAAAGCAGGAACTGGCAGTTTTAAGATGGCCTATTCTGCCTTATTCAATTTTGTGTAAAAGCATGATACAGGCCTTACTGATGTGATCCTTTATTTTCCTTTGTGCTGTATTGCTGACTTGCCAGGTGCATATGATGCCCAATGCTTTTGTAACAACTTAAAGATTATATAATGAATTGTGGTACTTCTATAATCTTCCTATATAATAAATTTTGGACTGACAGGTTCATATGAAGTGCCTCTTTAGGTTGATCATTGCCACAAGACAAAAGGCATGGAGTTGGAATTTATGTGAAATAATTTGGCAAAAGACGACTAGAAGAACATGTCCAAGCATGGTTGGTATTGTTTGACAATATAAATTGAACTTATTAGAGCTCTGCTCTGTACAAAGAACAGATATCAAAACGATAATCAACTTTTTGTTCTTTGACCTCTGGCAGATATAAATCAATGTCATTAAAAAACCAAAAACAACCCTCCCCCTGAAAAGTGAGCTTTTTATTTGAATCACAAAATATAGAAACTTGTTGTGGTCCAAAGCTTGGACTTCTTATCTTGATTTTCTTTTAGAGACTTGTTTGAGTTTCAAACAGATTTTTTTTCCCCCGCATTTAACATACGCAAGTTAATGAATGTTCCAGAGGGAGTGCATGTAGTTACAGGAAAGCAAAACAACTGCTTAAACTCGCAATGAGTCCCAATTATTTCAACTTATGTGTCTGCAGTTAAAAGACAGAAAACCTGGGCTTATGTTTATTTTTTCCCCCTGTGTAAATGTGTGCTACTTTTCTTTGCAGTGGAGGGGGAGGTTAAGTGAGGCTCCCAGCCGCCTTTCTGCTGCAGTGTGGTGGTTGTGATGGAAGCTGGAGGAGCAGCAGGCGGGAGGCACAGAAGATTCCCTAGCTACCCCTACGGGACATGTTTTACTTCGCGGCAGGGATTTTTGCCTGGCTTCTGTGTGTGTCTACATTCAGATGCCTGTGAAAATTTGTGTAATTGTACAGCCTTGAGTATTGTGATTTGGAAAATTTTACTAGGCAGCTATAGAGGTCAAATATATTGAGTGTGACCCGTACAATTTTATCCTAAGCCTTGTAATACATGGCATTCGTTATTCACAAAGTCCTAACTCCCAGGGCTTTTTGAATGTTGGATGTCTGAAGCTTCCATTTAAGAAAAAGTAAGTTGCTGTCCCCCAAGGACATGCAGGAGCGCTGGAAAACAGGAATGGTCACAAATGAAAGGTACTCTGAGTTTATTAGTAGATTCGTTCCTAACTTTAAATCACAACACCTGGGTTTGGCAGCCTGAAAAATGATACATGAGTTCTTGAGGGCAGAAATACTACTTTTTGCATGACCTTGTTGATGATAGCATTTTAAAGCTAGCTGCACTCAGATTTCTGAGGGACTCTCTAATTATTCCAGATAACTAAATCAGTAGTGTGCTTTGCTAAAATATTTTCGGTCACCTTTTAAAGCTAGTTAATATTTTTTTAGTGTTCAGCAACCATAAATAAAAAAGAAGAAAATAAAGTGATGTATTGGGGAAAAACTGAATATCAGTTTTGAAAACACTGAGAACAGATCGTTCTACAGATATGAAAGGAGAAAAATATGGAAATACATCACTGATCAAGTTTTTTTTTTTGATCAAAAAAAAAAGTTGTGAGGCTACCTACAAAGTTAAAAAAATTGTTTTCCCCTTCATTTAAAAAGAACTATGCTGAGTGAAAAAGGTTAACTGCCTGTTAGTAGTATTAGCTTTGACATCTTGGACAATTTCCAACTTAGGTTATTGCGTTCTGCCAATGTAGATTCAACTCTTTAGTTTCAGCTCAATGCAGCATCCTTCCCGTCCTCTGTCTCTTGAGCTTGTCTCTCCTGAGACTTTGCTCCTGTGCTGAATCAGGTAAAAATAGGGCCCGTGAGCCTGACTTTTTAGAGACAGCTGAAAAATCGGAGTTAAATGATTTTTTGAGTGGAATTCCGTTGTTCTAAAATTAGTACATAGAAGCAGAAATCAGATTTGCTGATTTAAAAATTAGGTGGGGTAATGTTTCTAATGCTTTTCGGGTTGAAAACAGAACTCAATAGGTCAAGGTTTAAAGTTGAGCAGGTTTCATAAGTGATAAACTGATGTAATAAATGTTTTGGATTTTAGTATTACTGTCACAACAGTGAATGTTTCAGTGAATTAAATTTCAAATAAGATTTTGAAATATCTTCATAGATCTTCATAGATAGAAGTTATTTATAAAGATTCTTATAATACAAAAAATCTCTGCCTTTAAGTAATAAAAGTATAAAGCAATGTATACAACTTATTGATCTTGTTTTTTTATAGGTGAGGGGGTGGGAATTTTTTCTGTATCAGGCTGTCTGCAGTTTGTTATATAATAAATATTCTGTTACTTGGAAAAAGCAATAAAATAATAGCAAAGATTCATGATATTACTTCCTTTATATGTAATCTGAGATGTAGGTCCTACATCTGAACACTTGTAGATTACAACTGCAAGTATGCCATGAGGCATTTTTTTATTTTAACTATTGAAGAGCATCAAAGTTAAAATTTCTGCATGGACTTTCAGCATTACTAATAGACAAATTAGGATTTGATCGTGAAACTGTTCTGGCATCTGGCTCTTCAAAGAGGGCATTACTCACTGGAGAGCTGCAAGATTTGGGTTAGAGGTATGTTCAGTTTCTATTAGCAATGGCTTCTCTTGCAAAAACAAAACAAGGTCAGGACCTGATAGGCAAAAGTCTCATCTGTATTAACATTTATAGTTGAGTGGGTTTTTCTGCCAGTGAATACCAATTACTTTTTTTTTTTTTCAGTGTATTATCTAGGACATAGTAAAACCATTACACCTAAAGTACTGTTATAACACCTCATTGGAAGCAATGTTGTACATTAGACTAATGCAGTCAAACTCATGGTCCGTGGGGCCATTCAGTCTGATGTACTATTCCATCCAGTCCATCTCTTTTCTATGGTAGATTAAGCCATCTACTGGGATAAAGCTGCTCTTAAAATAACCAGTGCCGCTGAGTAGAGTTGGAAGTGGGACAGTGCTTGTCCAGATTTTCAGCTCTAGATGTGAAGTATATTTAAAGGGCACTATTACAATAAGGGATGGGACAGAGAAGCAGACAAGCGACTTGCACAAGGTCATTAGCAAATTGTGGAATATAACGCAAAGCTCCATGTTCTGGGTCAATGCTCTTTTTTATGAGAGTTGATCTAGTAAAATTTTCAGTGCAAAGTTGCATAAATTGTTTTATATTAGCTTATCTCATAGTAAACCAAGTGTGACAAAACTAATTAGTTCATTAGAATTTTCAGGTGTCAAACATGGGTTTTAAAGTACATAACTAAAAATGCAGAATGAGCTTTATTATTGCAAGAGAAAAACGTGCTGAAGAGAGTTTTACACTTGCTGACATCATTGTCATGCTCATATGTTGGGTGGAACCTCATTGAAACTTGAGTATAATTACTGTTCTTCATTTATAGTGGAGGTAAGTGATAAAATAAAATCCTCCTCCTTTCTGGAACAAGATGGCTGAAGTCACCACCCAAAGCACATATACTTGGTAAAGCCTGAGTAAAAGGTGAACTGTGTGACCCAAGAAGCTTCTTGGAAAGAAATTCCGCACTGACAGGTGAAACTGTATAGGCCTAAGTGTGTAAAAGAAGCTTCGGAAACAGAACAAATGTAGAACAAAAACAGTCCTAGGCAGAGAAAACCTGCTACCCTAGAAAACCCTATAAACCCTAGAAAAATAAAAATGCAAGAGTGCTTTTGAGCACTATTCTCTCTGAAAACTGTAGTCAAAGAAGCTGCTGCTGTTTGATTTCTCCTGTGTCCAGGAAAACAAGAATTTATAAATTCTTTCTGAATAAATGACCCAGAAAATACCTGGCACCACCACAGATTTTTCTTTATAGTGGAAATAACCCTTAAGTCTCCAGAACTGACATGATCACTTGTGACTAAATGATAACCTGGTATCATGAGTTGGATCCAGCTTCCAAGATGGAAATTTGTGAGCTAGTGTTCTTGTGAAGCCACAGTACAAGAGTTTAAGGAACAGAGTCATAGAAAGTCATGTAAAAAATGCCCCCCCCCAAGAGAATAAATATGATCTCTAATGCAAGAACTGGATGTCTTTCAGAAAGAGTTAAAGCAAAAATAAAATGTTATCTGGAACAAGAGCTGGTTGCTCGTCAGAAGGAATTAAAGGAGTATCTGGGGAGGTTTCCTAGTGAACACTTTGAAAAATCTGTCTGAGCAAGTTTGAGAAATGAGCTGACAACACACCTACTCTTGAACAGCAAGGTGGATCAGTGGGATATATATGATTACTGTGTGTCAAATATATGATTACTGTGGTCCTGATCTAGTTTTCCACAAAGTAAAGATGAAACAAGCTTTGGATACTTTGTATTTGAGCCTCAGCAAAGTCTTGCAGAATTTAGAGGTGATCTTGCTGATTACTTGTGATTGCTG